TAATTGATTGCTTGACTTTTAAATATTGAGTTTTAAGAGTTCTCTTCATAGTCTAGATATGAGTCCTTTGTTGGGTATGTGGCTTGCAAATATTTTCTCTCAGGCTATAAACTGTCTCTTTATATTCTTACTGGGTCCTTGTGCAAAGCACAAATTTTTAATTTTTATGAAAATGATTCAATTTTTAAGTAAGGAAGGAATAGACACTGCATTATCGGTGATTGAGTGAAATAATTTTGAATAAGGTAGCCTAGTACTTTTTCTTTATCTTTGATTTTCAATAATTTAAGACTGATGTGTCTTGGTGATGATCATTTTGCATTTAAAATTTGGGTATTATTTCTGTTTCCTGGACATCCATTTTTATTTCTGTCTTTAGGTTTGGGAAATTCTCAACTATTTTATTTTTGATCAGGGTCTCTATTCCCTTCTCTCTTCACCTTCTCGAATACCTACTATCTTTATATTTCTTCTTCTAATTGAGTCTGATTTCTCAGTGTTTCTGAAATTTTCCTAGATATTATTTCTCTATCTTCTCCCACTTGGGTCATTTCTACATTTGTGTCTTCAATTTCCAAAATTCTTCTGTCAGTTTACGTCTATTCAATTCTTTAAGTCAATTAAGTCAATTCTTTCCATATTTGTCTTCATCATTCAACGTTTCTTTGTGAGTTTTTTTTAATACCATCAATCTCCTCAGTGAAGAACTCTTCTCGTTTCTACACCACCTCTTTCCTCAGATCCTGCCTTTCTGTGATTGACTGTCCTTTCAGTAGTTCATTTAGCATTTTAAAAATTGTTAAAAATTAAAAAATCTTTGTCTGCTAGGTCCTCTACTTCTGTGACCTTTATATATGTCTCTGAACTTCTCCAGCTTTTCCATCTTGTGTCCAAGTTTTCCTTGCTTCTCAGGCACGTATATCACCTTATTTGCCTTTTACTCATTGGAGCACTTTAGGTTCAGTTTTGTTTGTTGTTTCTCTTTTTTGTTTTCTTTGGTGGCAGGTGGGGGGGCCTGAGGGAAATCTGGGACTGACTCCAAGACTCAGTCTCAGTCCTGGTGGGGAGTGAGGGCTGCTCCAGGCAGAGAGATCAACTCTGCCTCCTCTCCTCTCTCCAGAGGAAGCTCTGTTCACTCTTTTAGGGATCCTAAATTCCCAGGCCCTATCTTCCTGCTGCTCCCCTCTGTGGAGTGAGACACATGCCACCAGGCTTGAGATGCCAGGTGTGACGCACCTGGTACAAGTCGCTGGACACCAGAAGGTAGGCATAAGCTGTTGGGCAAGGGGTGCCAGGTGCAGGTTGCTAGGCAATGGTGGCAGGGCAAGGTGGGCCAAACTACACGGTTCAGCAGTTCTTTCTGTGGGAGCTTTCTGTTGGGAGGGAAGAAGGGTCTACACCATCTGCTGCCCCAGCCAGCAACAGTCTTGCTGACCTAATCAGAAGTCCTGTGCCCCCAACTGCAACTGCACTATACCACCTGAGAAGTCTCACTGGAAAGATTCACCATGCCAGCACATGAGCTGCACAATTCGTGACAGATCCCCAGCCTGTTCTGCTGACTGGAGTGGCTGCTGCCTTGGTCACTACTACCCTTGCCACTTCCTGTTTTGTCCCCACAGCAAACCACTGACCTCAGCATAAAATTTCTGTGGGAAAGTCCCCCATCTCTAGCAGTGAACTTTTAAATTTTCCTTTGAGCAAATTTCAGTTTAGCTAGTGTGTGTGTGTGTGTGTTTAGTTGTGTTTAAGGGTGAGGATCATCCAAACCTCCCTATTTTGTCATGTTTTCTCTTGGGGTTTTGCAGTTTGGGGTCTTATATTAAGTCTTTGATCAATTTGAGTTACTGTTTTGTGGGCAGTATGAGATAGGAATCCAATTTCATTATTTGTCTTGTTACTATCCAGTTTCCCAGCACCACCTATTGAAGAGACTATCCTTTTCCCATTGAGGATACTTAGTTCCCTTGTCAAATATTAACTGATTGTATAAGCATGGGTTTTTTTCTGAGCTCTTGAGTCTATTCTATTGGCCTATGTGTCTATTTTTATGCCAGTGCCACAATGTTTTGATTGTTATGGTTTTGTAATATAATCTGAGATCAAAAAATGTGATATCTCTAGATTTGTTCTTCTTTCTTAAGATTGCTTTAACTATTCTGGGTGTTTTGTGGTTCCATATGACTTTTACTACTGGGGAAAATGTCATTGGACTTTTGATAGGAATTGCATTGAATCTATAGATATGTTGGGTAGTATGGACATTTTAACAATATTCAGTTTTCTGATCTAGGAACACAGGATATATTTCTCTTTACAGTGCTTTCATTTTCCCTCATCAAAGCTTCACAGCTTTCAGTATATAGATCTTTCACATCCTCAACTGAATTGATTTCTAAATATTTTATTGTCTTTGATGCTATTACAAATGGAACTGTATATTTTACCTCCTTTTGAGCTATTTTGTTAGTGTATATAACAACTGATTTTTCACATTGATAGTATACCCTGTAACTTCACTATATTCACTTACTGGTTCTAATAATATTTTTGGTGGAGCCTTTAGGATTTCTATAAATAATATCATGTCATCTGCAGAGACTATTTTACTTCTTCCTTCCCAATTTAAATGCTTTTTACTTCTTTGTCCTGCCTAATTTCTGTCAAGGATTTCCATACTATGTAGAGTAGGAATGGTGAAATACCTTGTCATGTTCTTGATCTTAGAGGATAAGCTTTCAATTTTCACTGCTGTGTATGACAACTGTGGGCTAGTCATATGCTTATTTATTTTACTATGTTTGGGTACACTCTTTCTATACTCTGTTTGTTAAGAGTTTTTATCATGAAGTTGTCAAATGGATTTTCTCCATCTACTGCGATTATCATATGATTTTATCTCTCATTTTATTAATGTGGCATATCATGTTTATTGATTTATATCAATAAATCATTAACCATCTTCACATTTCATTTTGAATCTGATAATATGCTTACTTTTAGCATTAACACAAAAATTGTGCACAGACTTCCAGAAGGTGGGGTGAAATTTCAGTTCTCTGAAGAGGATGAGGAGCAGGCCCAATTCCCACCTCTTTCTGCCTCATTGATGCTGGATGAGGATAGAGACTAAGCTTCCCCTTGGGTTCCCATGAAAACTAGAGGAAGGAAGGCAGAGCACTAACTATCTCAGTTTATACTACTTCATTCCACCAACTGATACCAGATGAGGCTAGAAGCTCAACTTCCACTGGTCCCCTTTGGTAGGGGAGTGAGGGCCAGGGAGAAAGGGATCAAAGTGGCCACTAGTCCTGCTTTACAGTGTCTGATTTGGTTTCTTGTTGGAGTGTACATGTGTAGCTTCAGTTCCCCCACTGAGTGCACTGGCACTAGAGATGTGGAGAATGTGGAGAGGTAACTAATTTTAATTCATACCTTCTAGTTAGTCTAGTTGTTATCAGGTGAGGGAGAGACTCAACTTACCACTAGATCCTACAGAAAATGGGGTAAAATTTTGAAACATACTGATGGTTAGCTCCCCTTACAACACCTCATTGGGTTTTATTTTTACTGGGTGGAAGTGAATGTTTAGCTAATCAATGTGTTCAGCTATTATCCAGATGGGAGATTGAGCTCCACCTTCTCCCACCAGGCATGCACTGGAAGATTAACTCCCTACTTAGCCCTATCAATACCACTTGGTAATAGCAGTGCTACCTCCTCCTACCTACTTCCTTTCATTGAGCGTCAAGGGGAAGATCAACTCTTACCAGGTCCACATGTAATCAGAGTGTGTGTGTGTGTGTGTGTGTGTGTGTGTGTGTGTGTGTGTCTATTTTTTCCGTTGTGTGTGCCTAGTGTAGAGTATGTAGTAACAAAAAGATTTTCTGTCGTTGGGCCACCACCTCACTTATCCATTGGCTTGAGAAATTAAGATTTTCTTGGAGCACATTTTGTTTGTGAATTTTAGAGATTGAGAGCACACATATCCTGTCCAGAACTTATGGGAAGCAGTAAGAAAACCCAGAGAACTTACTGCTATTTCCTTCCTCTAGTCCCAAGGTCCCTAAGCAGGCTTCCTTCTTCTTTACTTTCAAAGTCTTCCTATGCTTCCTATGCTTGTTATGTCTCAGGAGTTGAATTGTTAAGAGGGAGGCCCTGGGAGGAATCGAGCTAGTCTTTCTTAGCAGAACCAGAGCCCCTATTTAAAAAAAAAAAAAAAAAAGCAAACTTTTGTGACCATATATCATTTTATAACATTTTACTTACCATAATTTTTTAAATTTCTGCAATAAACTCTTTGTATATACAATTTAAAGGCTATCTAAATCTCCACTGAGTAGACAGAACATGATTTACATAATTATTGACCTATTGTTGAAAATTTAGATTCCATAATATATGGAATATATAACTAATGAAAATGTTTGTGCCCTAAAGTTTTTCTATATTTAGGATTATTATCTTGGAGTCCCAGAAGTAGAATAATACACGGCTCAATAGTAACATGAAAGAGTGCCCCTTCTGTTCTCACCAACACTGGGACTTCAACATGCCTCTAAACACAAGCCAATTTGATAGCGAAAAGAAAACAGTATTACAGTATGCCCTAAAGTGCATTTCTCTGACCACCAATGGAGCTAATCAATTGCCCTCCTTTTGTAAATTCGCTTTTCATGTCTTTTGCCTGATCGTCTTCTGGGGCCTTACATATTCTTTGGGAATAGCCTTCCCAGTAGAAGAATCTGACTTGATATGCATAAGAAGCTTTCTTAAACCAGAAAACAAATAATAATTCTCCAAAAATTGGCTGAGAGAGAAAATCATTTCATTCCCTTGCTCAACTACTACAAAAATCAAGCGCCTAACAGGAAAACACCTGCCAATTAAATGAAGACATCAGATGAAGATAAAACATATCAAACACTTCAAATTTCTGGATAACTCTTGATCTTAAAAATTATGCTATTTAAGAAAAATAAACACTTCCTGAGTCTTACCTGAAGCATAACAACATTGTCACCTTCAAAAGTTACCAGCACATCTGTGTCACATTTTAAACCTGAGATTCGGTTTTCCATCATGTAACCCTATTGTAAAGACAAAGGAAAGAAAAGAAAACATGTGAAGTGTGTAATACCATCATTACAAAAGATTAATTTTCCTTGAAATTAAAAAAAAAACACAAAAAATAGAAAAGAAGAAAATAACTATATTTCTCCTACCCAGAATAACCATACTAACAAAGGTAGAACCAATATAATTAGCTTCTGGTAGGAATTTTGGGTGTTGACTTCATTAGTAGTAAAAGCATTTGAAAATAGTTATGTCAAATTTTTCCAAAATATTTCAACAAACAGTGCCTTTCTTTTTCTCCCTCTTTTCCAAGTCTTATAAATTCTAAAAAGTGCCAAGGTATTAGTGACTACACCTTAAGTTATGTGGGTGAATGGTGCTTCCCCAAAGCCTTCAACGACCATTTTCAAATTAGTACATATCCGTTCAATGCTTGGGAGACAATATAAAAGTCCTAAATCACCACTATGCATCTTACGATCATTAAATATTCTTCTTCCTGCCTCCTTTTTTCTTTTATTTCCTCCCTTCTTTCCCCCACCTATTTTTCTCTTTCTTTCCCTTTTCCTCCTCCTTTTCTTTCTTCCTTTACCTGGCAGTAGGCTGCTGCTCATTTTCAAAGTGTTGAGAGTGTTTCTGTGCACAAACTGAGAGAGTCCCTCAAGAGAAAGTGGATCAGCCCCAGGCAGACAGTGAAAAAGTTTGCCTTAGTTTGGCTGCAGGCCCTTCCCCTTCTGAAGGCCTCTACACTCTAATTCTTCCAGAGCCTTGTTCTCCTCATTAAATCTCCAGAATCATTCCCACTTTCAAAACCTGCTTCCACAAAGCAAGCCTGCCTAAGGAAACTTTATCAGTTGTGTCGGTATTTGCAGTTAGCACTTTAGCTCTAGAGGATGACAAGATTTAGGGCCTGTTGAAATTTTCAAGTCACATGAGATTTGGAGGGTCACAGAAGGGTGCCCCACCGGAAATCACATACTCCAATCTACAGGTTCATTAATGTGCAGGGCACCTGCTTCATTTCTGAAAACCACTTGAGTCACAGAAGCCAGCACTTCCCGGGCCCAGATGCCCACAGAACACTGAAGTCCTGTGAACATTAGCATCTCCTGGCTTCCTGCCTCAGAAGTCAGCCTCTGACGCTTGCCCATTTTCCCTTTCCCCTTCAGCATCAGCAGACTGGACAGTGTTATCATCCACAATTTACAAGCAAAGACATCTCCACAAGCCTGTAGGAATCCTCAACTGCTTTCATGTACGGAAAGTGATGGTAATTATGGATGACTAAATCAGTAACATTTCCAACCTGGAACAGTTCAGCCTCCTTGCTTCCTTGAATGCCATAACTGCAGGGCTAAATCTGCCCCTTAAGAGGCAACCATATGAAATCAGGCTCTGACTGAACTTGATCACACCTCAGAGTGCTTCCCCCTCAAGGCTAGAGCTGACTCATTTTCATTCTTTTAATTCTACCATTTATCAAGTATTTATCCACCACAAGCCTGGTACTGTTCTAGGTGCTTTACACAAACTTCATTTATTTCCCTTAATTTTTTTTTCATCCTCACAACAGCCATGTGCAGTAGGCATTACCCCAGTGAGTCTTGAGGGACTGTTCATGAATAAGCTCCAAGTTGTAATGTAGAAAAGATTCACACCAAATATACCATTTCCATGTTGGGAAGAGCAGTTCGACAGGAAAAGCATAGCTGCACAATGCTCAAAATAATAATTTTGAAAAAGCAAAATACTCTTTGAGCATTTTGCTCTGGTCTCCTAGTAGGGGAGGGAGTCACAATAGGGAGTTTGCTATTGTCTAGCACTTCTGACATGTTTATATCCTGCCCTGGAAACCAGTCCATGGGGCTTTTAAAATGACCAGAGAGATAATCTACTCAGAGGGCAGCAGAATCAGTAAATGAACACCGCAGTCTCTCAGACAATGGGCAAATGGATTCCTGTGAACATAAACATGTTTTATCTTACATAGTTTTCAAATAAAATGTAATTTATTTCTCTTCTAGGTGGTAAAACTCAGCTTTGAAAATCAAGTAAAAAGCCCTATGTCCGTTCTCCTTATGATTCTAGGCCCTCCCTGACAGAGCTGAAGCTCATGACCCTCAGAGCGCTTGCAGGCCACTGAAAATGAAACAGCAAAGAGAAAACCCCAGGGCCAGCTAGGTGCGAGGCAGTGTCTATGGTCAGCACGTTGCTTCCAATCTTCTGAAACTGCCAGAGGCTGGTTTACGGTTTAATTTCCTTAGATTAGGCCAGAAAGGCCCATTCTCAAAAATGTCTAAATCCCTGGAGTATCTGAAGTGACCCACTTAGATACTGCATAGGTTCAAAAAGCCAAAGGCATCCACAGTCTGCGTGAACGTGCATGCAACTTTAAAGGAAGACACGAGACAAAAGAAAAGTTACTGGGGGGGAATTGTAGTCATCTTCTTGAGGAAATTATAGCCTACATTTGGGGCCCCTAATTCTTTGGAAACAACTTATTATAGATCAGTAGCATTTCCAACGTGGAGTAGTAGTTCAAAGTGGGTGTGATTTTCTACATAAAAATGAACCTTGTGTTTTTCTTATAACTAAAAGCAATACATAGGATTATAAAGAGTGGAAAATGAAAGGAAAAATGATAAACAGCCATCCATAATGTCATGATGTTGGAACTAAGCAGGCTCCTGAGAAAGATAGACCCAAGAAAAAGACCTGGGGCAGGAACTGGAGATCACAATGACAGACACAGGCATTAGAGGGGAGGCAGGTTAGGAGAGACCCAAAACCAACAAAGCCTGTGTGGGCAAAGGGAGGCCTGGAGTGTGCAGGGAGGTGGAGGAGTACAGCTGAGCCTGGGAGGTAGAGGGAGAGCAGACTGAGGGCCTCTCGGATGTTAGAGAAGACAGGACCAAGGGAGAAAGCCAGAGCAAAGTGAGATGGTGGTCGCGGGGAGAAGGAAATATATTAGTCTCATAGTCACCCACAGCACCCATGGGTGGCAATCTGGGCCACAGTTCTGGGCTCTGCAGGTGTTCAGAGACCACCACCATGCCAGGTGGCACCTTAGCACTTGCTTCCTTCATACACGTTATAAACCAGCGCCCCAGCACGTGCTAGGAGAAGGGGCAGTCACGGAAGTCAGTGTCTAGGACCAATTTTACAGTGTGCATTACAGAGGTCATGCCGTCTCAATTTCTACTCTTCACAGCAACATCTCAGTACCCCGGCACCGACTGGGATGAGAAAGTTGAAGCTCAGTGAGGTTTTCCACTTTGCTCCAGCTGCATAGCCTTGCCCAATTCCCTGGGGTTTTGCAAAGCTGCTCTCTGTTTCTGGAACACTCCCCCAGGCTCCCTGGAGCTGTCTCCCTTGTCTCCGGTCAGGCCTCCCCACTGCAGGAAGCTGTCCCTGATCCTTCCTTCTGAGACAGCTGCCCCACCCACTGCCATCACACCCCATCTCCTTATCGCAGCTTATTTTTTCTTCATAGCATTTCACTCTGTTTTAATTATGCATGCATACTAAAATCTACTTTTTAAAATGCATTTATGGTCTGTCTGTCCCCTTTAGAATGGACATTTCATGAGTATACAGACTGTACTCCATTCACCACTGCACTCTCATCATGAAAACAGGGTCTGGCGCATTAGAGAAACACAATATCTAGACTGTGCAATTGACCAAATAAAATTTCCTACAGGTAAGGTTAGGAATCCAGGGCCTCCAGTTCAAATGCCCACATGCACGCTTTTCTTCTACAAGGTAGGCAGGGGGCAGGACAGACAGAGGGACATGTCAGTAGAAGGAGAGATGAAGACACAAAGGAACAGGCTTCATGCCTCTGACATGCTCCGCTAGCCCTGTTCTGGCAGAAGCAGGACCCCGGATGATAGAGGACAGAGTTCAGTGCAGCTCAGATAGCCTATGACCAGGAGTCCCTAGCCAGGCAGAGAAAGGCCAGGATCTCAGAGTCCACACTGGGTGGCACAAGGAAAGGCAGGGCAGAGCCCTGAAAAACTGCTGCCTGAGGCTGCAGATGATCCTGGTTCAGATCTCAGGTGGGTGGGCAGAGTGTCTGAGGGGGTTGGAGATGAGAAGAGATGGTCATACATGAACCTGCACTGGAGGATGATGCTCCTGAAAAGTGACGAATTCATTAAGGTTACTATGGCTAGAGGTGTGAGCAGGAGGAACACAAAACATTAGCACAAATCCCACTTCAGCTTCTCCAGCCTGCACCCTGAATGGCACTGCCAGGCCAAATCCTGGCATCTCTGCTTCTCCCATTGGAGGGCCAAGAAGAGGTGACTTGAGCTCCCCAAAGAGTATAAGGCAGACTTCTGATCAGCCCAGCACACAGACTCCACCCCTCTCAGAGACCAGGACAGATGCAGGGCAGAACCCAGGGTGAGGGGAGAAGGGAGACTTTTCTGCGCCCAGTGACAACCAGCAGTCAGCAGGGGTGGGTGATCAAGGAGGAGGAGGAAGAAACAGGAGTTACAGGTTTGACATTTACAGGGACATTGAGCAAGTGCCCAAAACAGACAAAAGCAGAGAGGGGGCCCCTACACCTACAATAGCCTCAGGGACCCAGAGGAGAGGGTGCCACTTTCTCAGTGACTGGGACTCCCAAATGGGATACACAGAGCTGGGAGAAGACCACGAGTTCTGGAGTTGAACGTGACATCACGTCAGGGCCCCCCGCAGGGCTAGACCAGGACACAACAGCACCCTACACAGCAGGGCTATGGCCTCAGAACAGAAAAGACCAAGGAGGTTGCTGTTCCATGTCAAGGGCCTGAGATCCTCAGCGCAGGTTTGGTCCCCGGCCACCCGGCGAGGGTCCCACATGGAACACAGACCTCTCCTGCCGCCCGCTGCGCCCCTCAGCAGTGTATTTCGTCAGTCTGCCTGTTCTGTTCCCTGCTTTGTCTCTGGTGAATCCTCTCACCCTCCCGCGCTTCTGTACCCAGTCCTTGTATAAATAAATAAATAAATCTTTTAAAAAAAG